CTAGTTACAATTTGATGGAAATTCAAATATAATTGTATTAGAGATGGAAACTTGTAATTTTATTCGAGTATAAATGTTAATCCTTCCCCATTCTTCTTTTTTCTCTCTTTCCTTTCCCTCTCCTCACCCCATCTTATTTTTAGTCTTTGAGTTTTTCTGTTGTCATTGATATAGTTTATATTACTTTCTGGATTGTTTCCTTTTATTTTCTACCGATTGAAGCTATCAACAAGTAATGAGAAAATACAGAACTTCAAAGCTACTAAAATGCTTCCACGGCTCTGAATACTGTCTGTTATTAGTCCGTAAAAGCAGAGTTACATCTTGATGATAATGGTTCTATTGCTCTTTTGCCACTTTTCAGGTTGCCACTTTGACTTTATCTATGTTATTTTTTATTGATAATCTTGTAGAATCAGTCATTGATGCCTTATTTCCTTGTGATAAGAGGCATAATGATGGAAAATCACATAAACAGGTAAAGCATTTTGATGTGATTGCTCCTGATTTTATACTAGTGACTTGATGCCATCTGATGTTGGTTACATTTTTTCTTCAACAGCTTGGTAGATTCTATCCATGGTGGATCAGGACATGAGGGGATGGTCCCCCTGGAATATCAATTATTTGCATCTGCAGGAGCAATAAATTTTCCAGTTCAGGAAACAGAAGCTTGGAAAGAGAAGGTGATTGGTGGAGATATCACAATGAAAAATTTTGATTTCAAACTATTTACCTATTGATTCGTCCTCCTGTCTCCCCCCTCCCCCTCTCCAAAAAAAAATAAAATAAAAGTAGTACCTGTTAACTTTGATGCATTTCTGCAGATCAAACGGCTCGATCTATTGCTTACAAGTGATATTTGGTGCCAGATTAAAGCATTCTTGAATCATTGGTTGACGGAGTTGACAAATAACGAAACTATGTCCTTGCAACATCAAGTCCAGGCAGTTGCTCCTTTAGTGTTGCAGCAGTACTCTTCTGATACAATTTAGAAGATGTTGTCTGATGTTTCTTTGGCCATCTCCTCACTGACAAATAGAAAATCCAGGGATCAGATCATGATTCTCAACTCAAAAAGGTGTAGCATTCTTGTTTTTCAACAAGCTTTATACCTTGTCCATGTCCTTCACCGTCAAATTTCTTCTCCCCCACTTATTGTTTACGACACCAATCTGTATTGAGAATTCACAAATGACAATTATATTATATTTACATGACTTTTCTTTTGGTATTTGATTGATGCATATTTTGTGCGATCCCAATAAGTCTTTGCATTTTTGGTTGTTGTTAGGAATCAACTGCCTATTGTTATAACCGATTCAGAAGTTTTCTGTCCTGATCTTGATAGAGATTTGTTGTTGATAGCTTGTCTTCATCTGTACCAGACCAAAAGAAAAAAAGAAAAAAAGCTTGCTTTGTAATAATCAAAAGTGGTTTGAACATCACTCTAAATGGATGGGTGCTTCAATGGAATCATAATATATAATCTTACATTAGGATTTTTTGTTTCGGAAACTAACTATTTTGTTGTTTTTAAACCTTTCTAGGTCGCTTAGGTATTGTCGATCATGATGTAGTTGAGCTTAACAATCTGCACAGGCATGTAGGACTCTCAATTGTATTCTGATATTTGTAAATCTTCTTTGATGGATATGATGATGATATTGCTATAAGTGCTTCCAGGGAGAGAATCAAATTTGTAATTCTTCATCAGCTAACTTGGTTAGTCAAAAGTGGAATCTGCTGCTGCTGCTTGTCACTCGTATGTAACGCTGGATTGACTGACTACTTTGAAAACCTGGTCATTAGTTCCAGTATCTATGCAGTTATTTTGATACGATCGATCTTACATTGTCATGTCACAAATTATCTCTTTGAATATCTACTACTGTGATATTATCTTTTTGCCTATATCTAACTCGACAATTTAAATTAGGATTAACTCTACTATTCAGATTGTGGAACACAAAGAAGCTTTATGTACATCCAATGCCTTGGAAATTTTGAGCAAGTATCCTTGATAAAATTAATTTGATATGCTATGATTTCCTCTTCATGTTATAGTATATTTGGTATTTTTGGGTCAATAAAGCTTGAATATGTTGATTTCCATGACTGTGATGCTTCCTAGGTATGACATAGTAATAGATGCAACAGACAATGCTCCTAGCCGTTATCTAATCAGTGATTGTTGTGTGGTATTGGGTAAGGTAAGCTGTCTGCTATCCTCGTTTTCTTTTTATAAAAAAGAAAACTTGTGCAAAGACATTATGAAGTTGACTTATAAATGTTGACTTGTATCTGAATCTGCTTAAAATGATTAAGGTGGCAGACCTTCAGTTCTTCTACTCCTAGTTATTCACTGAATTCTCTTTTAGCTCCATTGTCATAAATGTTCATTTATTTATCAGAATCGTAGATTTAAGGACAGATTTGATCAAGCTTGTATGTATTATCCAATGAAATAGTTTAGTCTTCATATGTTAATCTTCTGATTATTAACCTCAATGTTTATGCATGCAGCCTCTTGTATCAGGTGCCGCTATAGGATTGGAAGGGCAGGTAAAAACCAGTATTAGCAATTTTCTCACTAATTCCTATATGAACATGTGGAAAACTATTTATATGGATTTGGGACTACATAATGTAATTAACTCTTTTTTATATTGTTCAAATTCTTACTGCAACTGCATCCTCAAATCATTTGTGTAGCTTACAGTTTACAATTACAATGGAGGTCCATGTTATCGGTGCCTATTTCCAACTCCACCTCCTACGACAGCATGTCAAAGATGCTCTGATAGTGGTGTTCTGGGAATTGGTAAGCCATTAATATGTTGTGTCTTAGTCCATTCAATTAGAAATATTGCCTACAATCTTGAATTTAAAGAGAGAAAAATCTGAGTTTGCCTGGGAGTTGTCCTTTAGCTGTCTGTCCTTGTTTGCATTTCTCGAGTCCCTTGCATATTTCTAGTTTATCTCGTTACTAGAATTTTGATATATTAGCAAGAAGAGTGGGTATTCACAAAAGGGGAATGTAAGAGTGACGGACCTGATGGTCAATAACACCCAACTCTACATTTGAAGGCTTTGTCCCAATTGCATAAGTTTTGAAAGGTGAAGTTTAAAGTTTTTTGTTGTTGTATTCCTAAGCCATATTTCTAATTTATCTCATTGTGAAATTTTTGATATATTATAAATGGGTATCACAAAAGGGAATGCAAGTAAGAGTGATGGTCAAGAACTCTAATTCGACTTTATTTTTTGGATGATGTAATTGATTAGGCGAGTTTTGTTTCCTTCTATTGGTTTTTTTGTTTTAGTTGCATCATCTTGATGCTTTCTCAATAAAATTTATTATTTATCAAAAAAAAGAACTCTAATTCGACTCTACTTTCAAAGCCATAATCTCAATTGCTTTAAGTTTTGAAAAACGAAGTCATAATTTTTTTTTTATATTTTTTTTGGTTTCATTCCATAATCATGGATGTAATCACTTTAATACATTACCAATGTTGACTACCACAACCTGGATGAGCCAAAATTTATGACAGCTCACTGAAAGGTGAAGGCATAGCAAAGGATTGCGGGGTTCCTTTAGAGATTGGGACAAGATCTCAGAAAACCTCAGAGCACAGTGAATAACTGAGAAGATGATCTGCAGATTCTCAGTGCCTTGCAGGATTTGCTGACAACATTGCATATTGTGGTCGTGTCATGATTTGTGTTCTTTTTCCTCAACTATCAGTTTTTTAGTTGCCTAATACGGTACTTTGTCTTTATGTGGTGGACCTTGAACTTGCTATGGGAAGGCATAGGATGACACTAAGAAAGATGCTTTAATGTGCAAGCTATTGTGTACATATTTGGAGTCTCCAGTCCAGTCCTTATTTCCTTGCAAATTCACCTGGCTAGCAAGTGATGTATTTCTTTTACTTATTTGCTCTACTTTTATATAATTTTACAGTTCCTGGTATTATTGGCTGCCACCAAGCCCTTGAAGCTATAAAGATTGCAAGTGATGTTGGTGAACCACTCTCAAGAAGGATGCTTCTTTTTGATGCATTGACTGCACAGATTCGTATCGTATGTTTTAAAAATTTTCAATTTTCTATTAATAAATTCTCTACTTTATATTTATTTTTTATTTTTCTTCCAGCATAAGCATCCTCTATATTTGTTGAACTTAGTGGACATGCCCAGTCAATTCCCCCTTTTTTTTAATTAGCCTTGTACCATGATTTTGCTTAGGTCAAGATCAGAGGGAGGTCATCACAATGTGAAGTTTGTGGTGAAAATGCGGCATTCACCGAAAAGCAATTTCAAGAGTTTGACTACAAGAAATTCACACAATCTCCCCTGTCCATGGTATGTTTATGTTCTTTTATTTCCATTTTAGGCTGCACATTGTGTTTTGATTAGCTTGCTTGAGATTTATTTGGTCTTAAAAAGTGAAATTTTTTATGTTTTCATCTGCCATAACTTGTTGTTTCGTAAATAGATCCGAAGATTTTTGTCTGTGAACTATTGAACTGGCTTAAGATAAAATTCATCTCTTGTGTGTTACCCAAGTTGTCATACACTCTAAATATCAAAATGGAATTTACAATTTACAAGCCCAAGTCTCTCTCAAGCTCTCTTTGAAGTGCTTCTTTTTATAAACCCATGGATCCGTATTTCATTGTGGAGTTCTATATTGATTCTCTTTCCTTGTTTTAACTTTTGATACTCGCTAGTGTAGAATTTATTCAAGACTGAAGCCTAGAGAAACAACCAAATCTCATGCTGTAGTACCCAGCTAAGCCCATGAAACTGCGGACTTCTGTTACATTTGTTGGAGTAGACCAGTTCACAATACTCTTTATCTTTTGTGGGTCTACTGAAATCCCCTCTTTGTTAATGACATGCCCTAAGAAAACAACCCCATCCAACCAAAATTCACATTTCTTTAGTTTAGTAAATAGTTTCTTTTCTCTAAGAATTTGCAAGATGGTTCTCAAATGTTGTTCATGTTCAAGTCTACTCTTTGAATATATCAAAATATCTTCAATAAAAACCACAACAAATTCATCAAGATAAGTCTTGAAAATTCGGTTCATAAGGTTCATAAATGTTGCAGGTGCATTAGTCACTCCAAATGGCATAACAAGAAATTTGTAATGACCATACCTTGTTCTGAATGCGATTTTCTCAATGTCTTTTGACTTCACCTTCAACTGATGGTATCCGGATCTCAAATCGATTTTTGAAAAGACTTGTGAACCATGTAACTGATCAAATAAATCATCAATTTGGAGCAATGGATATTTGTTCTTGAGAGTTACCTTGTTTAGTTCCCGGTAGTCAATGCACAAACGTAAAGTCCCGTCTTTCTTCTTCACAAATAACACTGATGCACCCCACGATGAAGTACTTGGTTGGATAAACCCTTTGTTAAACAAATCTTGCAATTGTTCTTTCATCTTAGCAGTAGACATACTGTAGGGGGTTTTTTAGATAGGCTGGGTGCCTGGGGCAACATTAATGGTAAACTCTATTTCTCTGTCGACCAATTCCCCTGGTAGTTCATCAGGAAATACATCCGGAAATTCTCTAACAACAGAGACACTATCCATTTCGACATTGACAGATTGTTCAGTCAAGATACTACATAAATAACTCTGACATCCTTTCCTATGCAGTTTACATGCTTTCATTGTTGAGATCAAATAAGGTGGAGGCATTACCCCCATTACCCACAAATTCAAATTCAACATGCCTTGGCAGTTTAGACACAACCCGTTTTGTCACACAATTGATAGTGGCACAATATTTCAATAGCCAATCCATACCCAAAATCATATGAAGGTATCGAATGTCCAAGGGTAACAAATCTACATATAAGATAGTATTGCCAATTCGCATGTCACAAACACGATACACAGATGTACATAATACAGATTCCCCAGATAGAGCAGATACAAATAGTAAATATGGCAATGATTCTAGGGGTCTAGGCATGCTCCACTTACATGTTTGTATTTTCACAGCATTGTTATGCTCCC